CGCCTGCTTTTTGTGTGAGTCTTATTCAATTTTTGACCAGGAAAGATGATTGAGTTAAAGACATTATTTGATCCTGCTCTGCATTTTTAGTTGCATGAGAGCTGCTGGGGTTTAACTGTCTGCTCTGCTTTGCTATTCAAAAGTTTCTTTTTAAGTGTTTTTATTGTTTGAGGATTGTGAACTGAATGTGTTAACTGCAGCTGTACCTTTTTAGTCTCTGCTTTGGGTTTTTCAAGCCAGAGTAAATAAGCCCATGTTTTTCTATTTCCATTAGGCTCAGCGCAGATATCTGCAGCCTGAAACCAGCTGTGAAGGTCGAACAGGGACTCGCTGCTCAAACTAATAGTGTTTCCCGCTGATGAAAACCAGAGCACAAAGAGCTGAAATCTACTCTAAGATTAAAAACATAAAAGCTAGAACTATCACAAATAGCTGAAGGAGAAATGTAAAAGTTGTGTACAYTCTAGCAGTGTTGGCCACGTACACTAACACTGAGCTCCCAGCAGCCTTAGAGACAGGTAAAAATCCATCAGTCTCACCTTCATTTGTCTGCACAGAGTTACTGTCACCCCCACAGCCTCAGGAGACTGAGACAGTGGAGTCTGTTTCACTTTAATGCTTCCTGGATCAATATTTTCCATACTGAACATGGATCGAGTGACTGTCAGTGATGTCGAAGGAGTCGCCTGCAGGTAGTGTCAAACCCAATGAAACCCCGCAGCTCTCCTCAGCTGTGACATTCATCCAGCTCCTCTTGCCCCACTTTGCTCCTCTATGAGGGGTCTTAAACCCTTAATTCATCTTGTGAGTTGGATAATTAGAAAAACAGGTGAGGCACAACCTTCCATTTTGATGTGTTGTTGAATGTAAGAAAATTACGTTATGTAATGTCAAAATCCAAGATGGCCACCAAATACCTTTAAACTGACCATCGGTTTTTGATAATTGGGGTGCTCCCCCACCCCCACTATGTGGCGCTTCGCCTGTAAACACCCGTTGAGGTACTGCGACAAAACTTGTCAAACCAACACAATTTACAGATGAGTGTTAGTGGGTTGTGAACATGATCACCCCCAGTGGAATTTTTTTATATTACTATTTTGTTGTCTTAAAATCAGGAATTAGGTTGGATTTTTAATTTGATATAAATAATAATCCAAACGACATGTCTATCATCTGGCCTGGGAATGCCTTGAAGTCCTCCAGAGGAGCTGGAATAGGTGGCTGTTGAAAGAGAGATCTGGAACTCCTTGCTAAAGTTGCTGCCCCAACACTCTGGAACAAGCTGTAGATGATGGATGGATGGATGGATGGATGGATGGATGGATGGATGGATGGATGGATGGATGGATGGATGGAT